GTTATTATACTTCTCATCTCTGGAATTTCTGTTTGGCTCCGTTTAAAAAGTCGTTTTGATCTATTTATTGATCTTCTCTATTTGGTGAGACATCATTCTCATGATTTCCTTTAGTTCTTTGTGCATGATTCCGTTTATTTCTTTAAGTGTATTTAACATAGTTGATTAAAAATCTTTGATTAGTACATGCAATGTGTGGGTTTCCTCAGGCAGTTTTTACTAGTTGCCTTTTTTCCTGTGTACGGGCAATACTTTGTTCCTTTGCATATCATGTAGTTTTGTTGAAAACTGTAATTTTTAATATTATAATGTGGCAACTCTGGAAATGAGATTTCCCCCAGGGTTTGTTGCTGCTTATTGTAGTTGTTGTTTTTGATTTGATTAGTGACATTTTTATACTAATTTTATAAAGCCTGTATTCTTTGTCATATAGGTCCGTTGAAGCTTCTGTTCCATTAGCTTAGCAGTCAGTTAGTGATTGACAGAAATTTCCTTAAACATCTGGGACAAAATACCACAAACAACTCCTAGTCTTTGTACTTGGCTTCTGTGTATATGTCAAAACATGTTTTAATACAAACCAGGCAGTTTACAACTCTGCCTTAGCCTTCACTTCCTATTTGCACAGAGCCTGGAGGTCAGCCAGAGGTGAGAGTTTAGGGGCGTCTCAGGTCTTTCCTGAGCATGCACTTGGCGCTAGCAAGTTAACTTTTCTACAACTTACAGTCACTCTCTGCTGGACTATACCAGTTAAAGGTCATTGGAAGAGAAAATGCAGAGTGATAGATTTCTCCTTTTACTCTATAAGGAACACTGCCCTGTTTCCAGCAGCAGCATGAAGGTAGTTTACTAGCATTGTTCAGTATAAGTCAGTGATTGCAAATAACCATGATATTCTTAAAGCAATGATTTTTACTAGGTATTAGAGTATACCTCTAGGTCAGGATTTTAGATTTTATTTAGCTTGATTTCATGTATATGGAATTTAAACCTACAGAATACAGGGTTTTTTTTTTTAATGTAAAATGATTTAGGCCAGTATGGTTAACCAGCATGTACACTTAGAATTCCAAAATTCTGTTTGCACATATATTTATCTTAGTCAGTTCGAGTTATAAACATGAGCTCTATTGCTCATTTTCTTTATTGCTGCTATCTAATATGATGTTTTTAATTTCTTGAGATGCAATTCTCATACCATACAGTCTATTTTTTAAGAGCATACAATCCATTAGTTTTATTGTATTTGTAGTTATGCAACCATTACCACTATCTAACTGCAGAACATTTTCACGTCTCTTTTCATACCTTGCCCAATAACAGTTACCCCCAGTCCCTGGCAACCAGTAAATTACTGTCTCTCTGAATTTGCCCTCCCTAAACATTTTATATAAATGGAATCATACAATATATGGCCTTTTCCAACTGGCTTCTTTCATTTAGCAAAATATTTTTAAAAGTTCATCCATGTTGCAGCATGTATCAGTACTTCTTTCCTTTTCATGGCTGAGTAATATTCCATTGTGTGGATATGCCACAGTTTATCTATTCATCAGTTAAAGTACATGTGGGTTACTTCTACCTTTTGGCTATTACGGACTATGCTGCTGTGATAATTAATATACAAGTTTTTGTGTGGATGTATATTTTAATTTCTCTTTGGGTATATATCTAGAAGTGGAATTGATGGTAACTCTATATTTAATTTTTTGAAAAACTGTGAGATTGTTTTCTAAAGCAGCCCAATCTGCTTTTAGGTGGCAAGTTCAAGTTCACAAAGAAAAGGAGTGGGCCATATTGACTTATACTTCTATAAATGAAGTGTTTCAAATATTGACAATTTGCAAGGAGAATGTCTGCATGAAAACAGCTAAAATTATTTTTTTTGATGAGCTTCCCCAGGGCTTCTGAGTGTTACTGCCATGCTCATCAGAATTACGTCTTTTGCTGATTCTTCATGATAATTGATATTTCTATTTAATCAACTTTAAGTTGCTGTCAAACAGAAAAAGCCCATTATTCATAATCAAATGCTCCAGAATCAGACAGATGCAAGGGCTGGCTTTACTACTTCATAGCACTGTCACTTTGAGGAATAATGCCTTTTCTTGAAGAAAAACTTCTTTTTCCTCCTCAATAAAGTGGGATTAACAGTATCTACCTCTAGGTGTTCCTGTGTTAGAATGAGGTCATGTATGCAAAGCAGTTGCCTGGCATTTCCTAAGTGCTAAATGAATGTTAACTATTGTTATTATTATTAATGTTTTGTCATTATTTAAATGTAATTTTTGAAAGATAAATAATGTCTTAAAATACTCTCTGAAACTACTTAGAGACAAAGCCTATTTTAATATAGTGATCAGATTTTTAATCTAGCAAACAAAATCATTTGTAATCAAAAACTTTTTTTTTTTTGAGACAGAGTCTCACTGTATCACTCATGCTGGAGTGCAGTGGTGCAATCTTGGCTCACTGCAAGCTCCGCCTCCCGGGTTCACGCCATTCTCCTGCCTCAGCCCCGCCCAGTAGCTGGGACTACAGGTGCCCGCCACCACACCTGGCTAATTTTTTGTATTTTTAGTAGGGACAGCGTTTCACTGTGTTAGCCAGGATGGTCTTGATTTCCTGACCTTGTGATCCACCTGCCTCAGCCTCCCAAAGTGCTGGTATTACAGATGTAAGTCACTGCGCCTGGCCACCCTTTTTTAAGGTGAAGGAAGAATGGGATGTGGGTGGCTGAAAAAAATCAATTTAAAATATTTCTTTGCTAGTTATTCATTTTGTCCTTGATATGTATTTAATTTAAAGCAATTTATTTTTCTTTTCTTTCTTCCCTGAAGCAATGTAATTTGAACACAGACTTATTTTTTTATTAGCTAAAGTGCAATGTTAAACAAAATCGTTATCCCTTTTAGCACTACTTTAAAGTTATTCTTTAAGGAAGAACTGGGTAAACCCTTCACAGAATGTTTGCAAAACATCTGATTGCACAATATGGTGTAAACTGTCGCATTTCTCTTTAATTTTTTAATAGTGACCAAAGTGAATTTTTTTCCAGTGATTGCTCCATAATATTATGCTAAAAATGTGTTGCAAATAAAAGATTGATAATAAAATACAAAAAGCATGAAATAAACAATAGAAGACAAATATGAAAATAGTCAAGAATGGTTAGCAAACATTCTGATTAAACCTTTTTTGTTAGTTTAAAAGGAATGCATCATTGCTTAGTCTTTGTTCTAAATGAGATGTCCCATTATCTGTATCTGGAGCATCAACAAGTTTTTATGGCTTGGTGGCATCAGAAGTTTAAGAGCTAAAAGGGACTTTGGTCGTAAAGGTTGGTCTAGCACAGGGTTTCTCAGCCTGGGCACCACTGACAATTTTGCGTTGATAATTATTTGTTTTTGGGGCTGTTCTGTGCATTGTAAGATGTAGGCTCTACCCACTAGATGTCAGTGGTGCAGGGTTCCCCCTGCCTGCCCATTTCCCCTGCTCCCACCACACACAATGAGAACCACTGATCTGGAGTTTGTCAAAGTGTACACTCCATGTATCACCACTCATGTTGGAGGGGCTGGGATACTCCAGGAAAAGATTCTGTTGTCAACTAAGTTTGGGAAACCCTTATTTAGACAACAACAAAAAATTGTCAGAGCTCTCAATGTGATATGTAAAGTGAATTGCCAAGAGGCGAACATGCAGCATGTCTCAGCTTATTTGACAGCAGCCCGTTTTTCAAAGGCAGTTTGCAGGATGGAACATACTCCCATTCCTGTGCTCCAACTCTCATTTTCCAGGTAAGGAAATTGAGGTCTAGAGAGGTTATATGACCAACCAAAGACTCTGCATTACCTAATTTCATAATTGCTGTGTGAGCATGTACTGCACGCTAGCTCCTGTGTTAGGCACTGGAGAGGCAACGGTGATACACAGGATAGGCAGACAGACGCAGTAACTACAACACAATGTGGTTAGTGCTAGGAGGGAGGCCCTCCAGGAGGCTGAGAGAGCACCTCGAAATGGGCACTTCATTCAAATTGAGTAGATGAGCTGAGTCCATGTTGTGCATGTTTTAGCTGAGGCATCTGTGGAGATAGACCAGTTTGGGAGACCAGGCAGTAGACTGCCTACAGAGGCCAATTTTGCATTTCTGTGTATAATAATTGAGGCAAGGGACCATAAGAGAGCCCTCTAGGGATGAGAAGCTGAGGGTAGAACCTTGGGGAAATCCATGTTTAAGGGTGCACCAAGGAAGAGCAGCCCCAGATAGAGACCACAAAGGACATAGGAGAAAGTACTGAGCCACGCAAAGGGTGCAGTCTGATGTTGCAGAGAGGAAGCTGCAACCTGCAGGGTTGAGGGCCTGGGCTCTGGAGCTGAGCTGGTGTTTGAATCCTAACTGCCTAGCTCGCAGGGTGTGTGATGTTTGTCACCTGTTGCATTACTTCGCAAAGGCTCAATTTATAAAAGGGGTGTAATTGTAAAGCCTACTTCATCTACTCGTTGTGAAGCCTAGCTAAAGTATGGAAAGTATGGAGTACCATGCTTGGCATATAAGAAATGCTTAGTAAATATTGGGTGATGCTATCCTTATTATTATCAAATGACATGAGGACTCAGAAACATTCATTGAATTTGCTATCATGGAGGTTGTGGGTGACCTTGGCAAAAATCCATTTCTGTGGAGGGACAGATGGTTTGAGAGTGAGTGGGAGGTGAAACAGCAGAGGCTGTGAGTTTAGAAATTTTCTCAAGGTTAGTTGTGAATGGGATTGGGCGGGGGGGTGGGGGTGGTGGTGATTGCTGCACGACAGACTTGGAATTTGAGTGCTGGGTTAAAAGAATGCCACAGGGGAGGCTTGGGAAGTTTAAATCTGAGGGTAAGACGCCGGGAGAGATGAAGATGGTGATGCTAAGCAAGGAGTGAGAGACAACTAGGAAAGCAAGGAGCTTGGGAGGGAGGGGAGGAGGGAATGGGGCTCAGGGAGGAGGAAAGAAACTGCCCTGCACTAGGACTTGCCTCAGAGCCTATGGAGGCTACCAGAGTTAAGATTTGTAGGTTCCTGAAAAATGAGGATTTAGTGGACCATTTTGACCTTCTGTCCTTAATGATAACATATTTTTAAATCCTGAAAGGCAAGAAAAGAGAAATTTCCCGAAAAGACTTCTGAGAAGGCGGGCAAGAATCAGAGCCTCCTGGTGAAATTATCGGACACTCTGGGAGTTAGCTTGGAATGCATACTCAACTCACTTGCAATCATTCTTAACTTTTAGAGAAAGCCTCCCAAATTTAACTTTATTGAACAGCAGCCATTGGCTGTTTTCCTGATTTCTCTGTGCACAGATAGAACTTCCAGCATCTCCTCCTTTTCTGCTGACCCTTGATGTGCTGTTTTTCTGACCAGGAATAGCAAACTTTCCTCTTTCCCTGTCTCCTGTACTGGGCAGGAGGAATTCTCGCCATCTCCAAATCTTGGAGGACTGGGGAAGTTGAGTCCTTCTGAAGCTTGAAGAGAATGCTCTCTGCATCCTGACATAGGAACTATTTGAGTATAAAGAAGATGCTGCATGCATACATTCAAAGGAACTAGTGAATAGCTGGTATGCATTTTGATACTGTGCTAATTGGTAGCCCTGAGGTCTTTGGGCTTTGTTTATAGACTTCTCCCAAGACCCTCCAAGTAAGGCCTGCATGTTACTTCTCACAGGCTCTCAGAGAGTCTTGGGAAGACAGAGGCCTCTCTTTTAGACACGGAGAAGTATTGTGGGAGGTGACTTGCCCAAGGACACACAAGACTCCTGTGACTTTCAAGTTAGAGTGGTATTATGCAGCCAGAATTCGCCTGGTGTGACTTCTGTCTCAGAACCTAGAACAGTGCTCTTCTGCAGTAAAGACTCCTACTTTATTCCCTTTTCTCTTAGTATAAAAAATTTAATGTGGGTTAGAGGTTTTTATTATTTCTCCATTTAACTTGAGAAAGCAACCTCATGGGTTCATATTTTTGTTTCCCTCCTTTTAAAGGCAGGCGAGATTTCACGAGTAGATGAAAGAACACCCAAATTTGAGGGAATGTTCCAAGTACATAAATACTTGTGGCTGAGAGAAAACAATGGCCCTCCCTCAAATACTGCAGGGAAGAACCAGTATTGGGAGCAGCTGTGTTTGAAAGTCTCCTAATTGTTATTTATTCTATCTGTAGATCTATAGTCCAACCAATGTATGAATAGGGCCTTGGCTGATTACATCTCTGTTTTGATCAGAACTGCTATAAGTAAAAGACTTGTAGTATACTGTTTTCTTAAACTGCTAGGGTTTTACCACAAATCAGAGTTGTTTCTTGTGATTCAGCCTTCTTCAGCCTCTGTTCATCTCTAAGAAATTGAACCTAGAGTAGTAAACAAGTGATACTTCTGTAAACTCCCTAAGGGATGACTCCTCAGATCTGTGAACCCCATCATCCCTCCTAATCTCAAGTCACTTATTTTCTTATGCTTTGTGGAGTTCTCCTATAAGCACCTGAACTCCAGCATGTCCCAAATGATTTTCTCCTTAAGTCTGCTGCTCCTGCATGAGTTCCTATGTCCATTAATGGCATTCTTTATGACACAAGCAAGAAATCTTGGCACCATCTTTATCTCCCTTTTTGCTTACTCCAGTGTACATTTGACTACTCCATTTTCCAAGATGATATTCTAGGCATGTCAGTCTTCTATTTTTTCCTCTGTAAAGGCAGGTAGTAGGGTAGGATCCATATCTTTACCTCCAGTGCCTTCTGCTTGGAAGATAATGCTTCCTGCTGGCCAGTTCCCATTCCTCAGCCCAAATACTACATCCTTGGCAAGCCATTCCTCTCTGAATCTCCTTCCCAGGAAGATGCAGTCACTTCTTCCTCTGGATTGCCATTTTTTTTTTTTTTTACTCTAATGCTCATGAAACTTTGTGGTAAATTTTTATTTGAAGGTCTGGCTCTTCTGCTACATTCTGAGATCTTTGAGAGTAGGAACAGTAGATCTGTGTCTGGCACATATGTAAGCACAAAAGCTATTGACTATATTTAATTGACTTGAATTAGAAAAAGATGTGTGAAATAGAAGAGGAACAATTAAATGCTTATTTGTATTTGATCTCATTTTAGTATTTTTCTCTTCCCATTTCATTCTCTCCTCTCTCTTAGAAAAAAGCATGTAAATGTTCTGTTCCTATAAAAACAATTTAGAGACTTTCTTTATCAGCAGACAGAATAACCTGGTTACATTGTTGATGTTCTGTCTAAATGAAATTTAGCTAACAACTGTTAAACAGTTAAAAATATTTAACTAACAAATATTATTTATAGGGAGCAGGCATTGGTCTTGGAGTCTGAGGGTCCAGGTTCCAGTTTGGTTGCTGCCATTTATTACGTGGATGACCCCAGGCAAGTCTCTTTTTCTAAGGTTCAGTTTTCTCCCTTGCAAATGAGAATAATACCTCCCTGACAAGATTATTGTAAGAACTTAATGAGATATTGGATATGAAAGCATCTTGTATAGTGTAAAACACCAAGTTCTGAGATAGAAAAAAACTTATGATTGCATATTTGTGTCCCCCCAAAATTCATACATTGAAATATAATCCCCAGTGTGATGATTTGAGATAATTAGGTCATGAGGGAGAAGCTCTCATGAATGGGATTAGTGCCCTTATAAGAAGAGGCCAGAGAGCTAGCTCACTGTCTTTCTGCCATGTGAAGATATAAGGAAAAGGTGGTCATCTGCAGCCTGGAGAGGGCCCTCACCAGAACCCGACCATACTGGCATCCTGATCTCACACTTCCAGCCTTGAGAACTGTGAGAAACAAATTTATGTTGTTTTAAGCTACCAGTCTATGGTAATTTGTTATGGCTGCCAGAATTAGGATAGCTCTTAATTATCAGTTGAATCTAAATTTATATGTATTTCTTAGGCCTGGATTTGAAAACCATTCTGCTATATGGTTTAGGTAGTATCAGCTGTTAGCATATGCATTGTCTCAAGGACTGACTTTTCAATATCTATCTTTATTTCAGGTTAGTAACATCCTTTGTTTGGTAATAACATGCATATTATTTCACCTGATGTTTTCCTAAGACAATTAGATTGAATTTTTTTCTTGTCACTTAAATATTTTGGAGTACTATTAGTCCACTTCCATGTTTCAGATAATATTGAATTCAGGGTGTACTTTTTAAAATCTTGGTAATTAAATTTAGCAGTTTTGTTTGGAGGTATTTATTTTCATCTTAGTAATAAGACAAGAAATAAGATGTTTCATAATTATCATATTTTGTTTGGGATTTCTTCTGAATTTTCTCTCTCTCCATGACAGTTCTCTTTTGGGAGAGGGCCTTCTCTCTGCAGTCATATGCTGGTAGATAATGCATGGTAGCTGATCGGTGCTAGAAAATACAGGATATCCAGAGCATCTTACTTCCTTGAACGTATCTTTTAGCCGCAGGGAACAAATCGAAGGCATAGATGACAACTTGTTAGCTGTAGATGGAATCCGTAGCCCAGTACTGCTTAAGAAGAAACAGCCCCACTCTGTCCTGCCATGATGGCTATTCCAAGTCAAAGGAAAAGGAGAAGTTTGTTGGAGAAGATTTTCTTTCTTTTTTTCTTTCTTCTTGTTTTCTTTAGTTCATCCATTCATTTTTTTTCTAATATTATGGTACCCAAAAGCAGAATTTGTAGTTAGTACTCTTGGCTGTAGAAATTCATAGTTTTGCTTTTCCTTTAAGGCTGATTCCAGCACCACTTTATGAGAAGAAACTGTCATAGCTTCACATTGCCTCTAAGAAAATGAAACGCACCTAAGTATTATTGGACAGCAAGAGTATTTTACAGTGATTACTGCTCAGGAAATTTGAGTGAAGTACTGCAAAAGAGGAGCAAAGCAGACCCGAGAGAGAAGGCAGCAGTGCTCCCCTGCGACATGCTCCATCACCGGGCAGGGAAGACGCTGCTGCTACCTCTGCACAGCTTCGTTCAAGAGCGCTGGAAATTGTAAGGTGTTTGTTTTGTTTCATTCTGGGAGTGGTGGAAGATTAGCCTTTGTGCTCCTCCTCCAAAGCGTTTTGTCAAACACTTACGACTACTTAAACAAAATCCAAAGTAAGCTATCATTGAAATATGAAATATACTAACAAAGCCAAACAGTGAAAGATTATACAGGGAAAGGCCTTTCTCCCCATTTTGACTTCAGCCACTCAGTTCTCCTTCCCACAAGTGTGTCCTTCCAGAGATATTTGACTCAAGAACCACCGCATATATTCATGTGCCTGCTTTTTCATACTCTGTAGCAGCATATTAGAATATTGTTCAGCATTTTTTCTTTCTTTTTTTTTTTAACTTTACACTATTTCCTGATGTTTTCCAAGTAAATATTTTATTCTTTTCTTATGGTTGTGTAGTAATCCATTGTATAGATGTATAATTTATTTAGCCATTTTCTTGAGGAATATTTAGATTGGTTTTCCTCTTTGATTATTACCAAAGTTCCTGGAATGAAGGAGCTGTTATAAAATTATCTTCTTGGTAAAAGCTGCCCTTTAATGTGCTCTGTTGACAGGATTAATAATTTGTCCTAGATAAAAGAATAAAGAGAACTATGCAGGAGCTCTGTTTCCAAAACAAGTAAAAATTACATCTGATGAAGCATAAAGGAGACTGAACAAGGACACAAGAACCACACAAATTGTGTATAAAATATGCAGCTTCAGTACATTGCTGCTTGGTGTCTTGCCCTCTCAGACAACTGACCCCAAGGGTATGTCTTACAGAATAGTTGAACATGTTTAACAGAAACATTCTTGGTGTCGTGGACCTCAAAAGACTTGGTGTAGCTGGCATGGTGGGTCACACCTATAATCGCAGCACTCTGGGAGGCCGAGGCAGGCAGATCACCTGAGGTCAGGAGTCGAGACCAGCCTGGCCAACATGGTGAAACCTGTCTCTACTAAAAATACAAAAATTAGCCAGTCATGATGGTGGGTGCCTGTAATCCCGACTACTCAGGAGGCTGAGGCAGGAGAATCGCTTGAACCCAGGAGGCGGAGGTTGCAGTGAGCCGAGATTGTACCACTGCACTCTAGCCTGAATGACAGAGTGAGACTGTTAAACAAACAAGCAAACAAAAAAGGTTTGGTGTATGAATAAGGAAAGGAGCCCTAGATACTGGGCATGCAAAGGCTTTTGTGTTCTCTGAAAAGGTCATGCAATGATAGAAGTTACCTGAGACACCTGTAAACTAATGACCCACAGTTAAATCCACATAGTGTGGCCAGTGCTGTGGTTTTGGGTAAATGCAGGATGCTGTGGACAGTGGGTGCCTAAGAGCTACATTTCACTCAAGTGCTGGAGAAGCAGGAGAGGTTGACCCTCAGGAAGTGCCTGCTAAGCTGAGCCCTGGAGAATGTGAGGAGTATAAGTTAGGAAAGGGTAGGATAGTGTGAAGAACTGTGTTCTAGGAGAGGGAACAGCAGCATGCCCAGAGATCATCATGGCCCATTTGAGCTTCAGAAGTGTGCCTGTTGGGGGTCCAGAGAGGAGACTGGCAAGGTACTCAGGCATTGGAATCACCATAGTTCTCAACAAGTGTCAAGGAGGTTGGACGTAAGGCTATGGGAGGCCAGTGAAGACCTTTATCTGGAGTGGGAGGTTATTTGATTTGTGTTTAAAAATCTCATCCTGCCTACCAGGTGGAGAATGAACCAGAAAGGGGTGGGATGCTATGTAGGAAGCTGTTGCAGTAATCCAAGTGAAAGGTGATGGTGATCTGAATTAGGAAATGGCAGTGCAAGTAGGAAGAAGTAGACATAGAAGAGCTCTTCAGACAGTGGAATCAACAGGAGTTAGCAATTTTGAGACACGGGCATGGAGGCAGAGACCCTCAGCCCTCTGGTGGTTCACTTTTAACAGAATGATTATGTGCAATGCATTTAATATTCATGCATCTTTATGAAACCATCCTTGCTATTTCTTTTGGACAAACCTGGAAATAGACTTGCTGAGTCAAAGGAAAGATTTTGAAATCTTTCAATAATGTGGTCAAATTGCCTCCAGAAAGGCTAATATACCAATTTACATGTCCATTACCAATTAGGGCACTAACTTCAGCCTCACTGAGTATTATCACTTTGAATTGACACTAATCTGATAGGCAGAAAATACATATCTTTTCTTTGTTTTAATTTGCATTTCTGTGAGTACTGGCAAAGTTGAAGTTTTTTTCATGCTTATTAACTAATTATATTTCCACAAATTACATATTCATATTTTTGCTTATTTTCCCCCTGGGCTGTTTATCTTTGTCTTTTTTATTTCTAAGAGCTCTATTGCTATTTAGTTGCCTAACCCTGTGTCTTTTTTAAATTTGTTGCAGGATTGCTCTCATTTATTTATGCTTTTGTTTATGTTTTGTGGATCGGAAAGATTTTTTTAAGTGTATTAAAATATTTTGTTCATGCTCTATGCCTGTGGTTCAGTGTCAAGAAAATTATTCCTCAACCCCAGGTTGAGGTATAAATATTGAGATTTTTATAAATATTCACATTTATTTTCATTTTTTACCTTCAGGTCTTTAATTCATCAGGAATTTTTGGATATAAGATGTGTTGTAGGAATCTATCTCTTTTTGTTCCGAATAATAAATTTTTTTTTCTGAACCAAAAATTGGGACAGCCTAGTCTATGTAACAAAGAACATTTATGCATTTGTGTGGCAGAAACAGTCTTAGAGAGTAGATGCAATAATATTGGAACTTCTGGAACATTTGATGTTATATATGTTGATAGATTATAGAGAGATAAGATTTAAGGACTAATACTTATACCTGGGCAACATCAGGGAACCTGTGCCATTATTAAAAAATTAAAAAAGAAAGAATGGCTCCCAACACCCATTCAGAATAGAATGTTTGAAATCCAGAGTGCATGAGAAAGTTCAGGATCCAGATCGTAAAATATTGCCAATGGTTTATGTAGTGCAACCTGCATTTCACCGATAGCTCATCCTATCTGAAACACTAGTTCACATCAAAATGACTTTTCAGGTCCGTGGTGTCTCTAATCTTTGTATGTTCGTAGGTTTCTTTCTATGCAGAACATCCAAAGACAACTCATTCTCTTGAGGCCGTCAGAGCAAGACCAAAGGTTGTAGGGCCTTGACCACAGTACTAAAGCAAAGCCTCAAAATAACTTAAGGAATCTTAGGAAATGAAATGCCACAGTCCTGGACATTTATCATTTGGCAGCAAGCTAAACATTTCCTAAAACTTTTAGAAGTAATTTAGGTGCCTAATGGAAATTTTCTATTTTCAAATTCTGGAGTTGCTTAAACTGTTTAGGAGAAATTTAGCTGGAGTCTGGTGATGGGACTGTTTGTATGTGCTTGACTGGGAGTGGCTGTGTTGTCCACATTAGCATGACCATGGGCTCTTTATTGAAGCCCTGGTTCCGGTTCTCAGTAAGGGCCGTTTGCAAGAGTGAGGTGGAGTTTGGTGGCTTTCAGGCCACCCAGAGTGCCATGTGTATCTGTTTGATAAACTCTGTGGTTTGTCTGTTCTATGTGTTTTTGCCAGATTGTTTAAAAAAAAGAAAGAAAAAGCAAACAAGCAGGCATCATATGTTAAAAGTTTATCTTTTATTTTTGGAAAATCTGAGTGTAATTTTATTACTGAAAGAACAAAAAGTTGTTTCCCTGGGGAGATAATTTTGGGGTGCATAGATATTTTTAAGGCTGTAGATACTAACTATGAAAATGAATATATGACTTTGTCAATACTTTTTTTCAGTAGGGTAAGCCATATTTTTTCAAAAAAGCAAGGCTGGAATAAACTACTCTTGGCATATCAGAGATCAGGAAAAAATGGGTATTGGAAGCCATTCTTTTTTTTCTTCATAACAGCGTAGGCTTTCTGATGTTGTCCAGGTGTATGTATTAACCCTTCAGTCTTATCTTTATAGTCCAGGATTTTTCAACCTCAGTACTGTGAACATTTTGAGCTGGATAAATTTTGGCGGGGAGAGCGGGGACTCTCCTTTGTATTATAGGATGTTTAGCAATATCTGTGGTTTCTACCCACTAGCTAGTCTCTACCCACTAAATGCCAGTGCCACCCCCATCAGCCATGACAATAAAGAAGTGTCCCCAGGCATTGCCAAATGTCTCCTTAGGAGCAGATTATACCTGGTTGAGAACCACTGGCATAGCCAATGCAGAGGAAGCAGGATTGGTCAGATTGGAGTTTGTATTTGACTTTTATATGGTCTATTTTCAAGTAAATTGTCTTCAGAGCAAGAATAGGCTACCAGGAGGAAACCTCTAACTAAACTTCATGAAAATATAATTAAATTTCATAGCATTCCAAGGCACTAACTAAATTTGTTATATTGAAATGGAATCAGTGAACTGAGACCTGAGGACAGGTTGAGAACCTGGGAGGTTATTTTCTAGAAAGACTGATCTCAGTTGATTTCAAGCAAAGGGCAGGAATCATGTGGTATTTCTATGGTGAGTCAGTTGTGGTCATTAAATTTAGTTATTTGCTGTGCTAATAGCATAAATCAAAGAACAGGAAACTTCCTTCCTAAAATATCCGCCTGCCCTGCGAGGTTGTGCTGGCTGCATCAGATTTGCTGTTGTGGCCTTCTGTGGATGGCTGACCAATTCAGATGAAGCATCCCCCTGCTGTGGAAAATCTGGAAAATCAGCCAAAGTTTGTTTCAAAAACCTTACTTGACTACATATTTTAATGACTCCACGTTATACACTTGACTAGAAATTAGTGGTGTGTGTTTTCCTCTCATATGGTTGAATTTCCCCCTCCCTGTTGCTGACTTTAAAAGATGTTTCTTTTTTATGAACACTGAGAGTACAAATCAAACAAAAGCCAAAGGAGCCATATCACAGGCTCAGTCTCTAGCAGCAAATGTTGTACTTGCATTAATTTTGGATAACAGGTTACAGTTTTAAATTGGATTTTTTTAATAATGCAACAGAAATTA